TTGTATTTTTGGTAACCCATATAAAATGGGTGCTTGAGGGTTCATTGGAACAAGATTGCTCCGAGACAAGTTCTGATCGGGAATAACATATAATAACTGTGGTATACATAACTTAATATCCGAAGTAAACTTTTTGGGTGGGGTCAGACTCCAATAGCTCAAAGTCATCACCTTGGATAACATCGTTAACTTTCTGGCTGTACCCACTACTCTCCATAATAACAACAGTATTGCCTTTATCAACTTTAGAAACAATAAGGTCGTTTTCCCTTATTCTCTGCTTTAGGGACTCAAAAACAGGGAACTCAGGATTGAAATGGGAAGACGCGGGCACAGCCCGAATTTCATTAGCTACCAAACTTTTAACGATGTTATCTTTCTTCCCGATCACAAAAAGAAGGGTTAGCTATGGGGTCCCCTCTAAGTCGCTTTATGGCGGACATTTTCATGGATAATTTCGAAAAACAACATACAGTTGTCAATCAAAGTATCTTATATTACTATCGATATGTAGACGACATAATTATTTGTTGGACTGGCACAAAGAGACAACTGGATGTTTTCCTCAATAAAATAAATAGAGTCCATGACAAAATTAAATTTAAACTTGAATTAATTTTCTTGACTTAACAATAACAAGAAAAGAATCGTCACATGTTTTCCAAATTTATCGAAAGCCAACTCACACCGACACGGTCATCCCCGCATCATCATGTTATCCATGGCAACATAAAGTAGCCGCTTTTTATTGTTACATTAACCGTTTGTTCACTGTCCCATTAAGTAAAGAAAATTATTTAAAAGAACTTAATATAATTTATCAAATAGCGGTCTCTAACGGTTTTTCAAAAAATCTCATTAACAATTTAATTAATAAAAAACAAAAGCATGTTATTCGCAACTCTCTGTACGCGGTTCAACCTCAAAGTGTTCATCGATATGTGAGCAGTTTGACCTACTTAGGCCCCATATCTGAAAAAGTAGCTAATACTCTTCGACAAAACGGCGTTCATGTGGCGTTCAAAACAAACAATTCTCTTAGAAATATCTGTAATAGTAAAGATAAGTTGAATATTCGTCAAAAGTCAGGTGTTTACAAACTTGTTTTTGACGAATGCCACGCCGTTTACGTGGGTCAGACTGGTCGCAATTTCGAGACACGTTATGAAGAGCATTTAGCCACGTACAGGAATTGCAATCCCGATAAATCCCATTTTGCCAAACATCTTTTGGACACTGGACACAACCTAGCTAACGACCACTCCTTTAAAGTCTTACATACGTGTAATAAAGGGCTGCGGCTGTGTGTGCTGGAACAGTTAGAGATATTAAAAAGTAATAATAATACCGTTGCATTGCTGAATGAACAGACAAATGTTACTAACTCACCTCTCTTAAATATCTTCAAGCCTGCTCTCTAATAATGTGGGCGTTGCGCGGCGGTTTGTTTTTAATTTTACAAACGGCTGCCTAAGTCCAGCGGTGATTGGTCGCATGTTTTATCGCATGACGCAGTCGCTCGCTCCTTAGGTAGAGATCGGTTGCATCATCGGTTTGTATAAAAGGCACTTGTTTTGGCTCGCCACTCACTTAGCGGTTAGCCACCGTAGAGTCTATATCACCTGAGGATGCCTCGTGTAGAGGCGAAACACGTGTCGTATTATCGTCAGTGGTGTGTTTTGCCTAGTGTAGTGGTGTTGGGAGTAGCGGTGCTGAGATTAGTGGTGACGGGGATAGTGCACGCAATTGAGGGAGGGCGGGAGGTGCTTCTTCATACTAGGTAAGACACATCATTTTATTTTATAACGCGGATATTTGCGAAGTAAAAATTTTTGTAAAAGCTTTTATATTATCTGACTTTTAATATGTTTGTTTTTTTTATGTAATTAATATATTTGTTAGTTTTATTTCGATACTTATTATACAATATTCTATTTTGCAAGTTACTTTGATCCTGTTTCCATATAGCTAATAGCTTATTCTTAGTATTACACATTTTTATGGCTCTTTTATTTATCCATACACAATTCCCCCTTCTACTTGTATGTACTTTTGCAGTATATTGACTTTTTTATGAATATAATTGTATTTGTTAGAAATAAAGTTCATTATAACATTAGGAGTAACATATCGTAACCCCTGGCTCTAGTCTACATTACACAATTCATTTAGTAATTTGCGATGATTTGTTTTAGTAAATTATTCAATGTTCTCTTTTTGTAATGTAGCCCGGACTATCACAAAACCGGTCATATAATGGTCAGCTATGGAGTTATTTATCACTGCTGTATGTATGGATGATGGAGTAGCACTGTGATTGTCAAGGCTTCGTATAAATATGTGATCAATACAGCTTTTGGTAATCAAGTTCCCTCTAGATTCAATCCGTGTACACTGTCTAATTCCACAATCAAGTCCTACCTCACTCATGGTGTTGAGATATAAGTTAACATTTGACTCATTTAGTTTAATGTTTATGTTAATATCCCCGATAATTACAAGATTACTTTTTGAAGGAAACTGCTTTATTACCTGTTTGATTTCCCTGATAAAAAATACTTGATTAGAGCTTGGAGGTCGGTATAATGCACAAATACACAATTTATAGTTGTAGCTTGTTGACACTTCACCAATAATAGATTCGGAGAAGCATGTATTCACTGGAAGTCTATTAAATGAAACACATTTATGCACATATAAGATGACTCCTCCACCTCTTTTGTTTTTGCGAAGTTATGAATACATCTCATAATCTTCTAGTTGGAAAAAGATATGAGCACTCCGCTCTTATGTTAGCTTCTGTAACTAGAATGATGTGTATTATTCTTAAGCTGTTGTTTATTATGTATTCAAGTTGGTCAAAGTTTTTTAGCATGGATCTTATATTTACATGAAGCGTAGATAAATAGTTACATGCTATGGAAGTCTTTTCTATAAATGCATTCCAGTTGTTATATGTATATTCATTTATGTGTGGAGTGAAATCTTCCATGCAACACTACAATAATAACTTGACAGTTACAGTAAAATATGATTTCATTTTGTGTTAAATAATTTCACTTAAATTTTTTCAATTAAAATAACATATTCTTTTCAAAAATCAAAATCACGATCGAGATTATCGTTACGCGCGGGTAAATTCAAAATAGTCAGAACATTTTCCTAATCCAAATTGAAATTAGAGGAAATCTGTATTTCGTGGTAGTGTATTATAGTGGTACTATATTATAATGTGTGACTTATTTGAAAAATTGTAATCACACAAGTATTAGTCTGATAATTTCTGATCTAACTCAGAAGATATCGCATAAGATATTATGTTAAGCACTTTTTGAATAGATGAGTGAGTTTATGCGCGAACTAAAGAAATGAATGGAGCACTTAAACGTTTAGCAGATACTTATAGCCCACATTTACATTCAATTCCGTCTGGTATGCTAGGTGGTAAGAATTGCATGAATTTTAATTTTAATATGAAAGATGGCATTTCATAGGCAGTCAAAGTGAAGTCAAAAATAATTTATTAAGTTTAGTCTTATGACTAATGAATGTGAAAATATACTACCGTCTCCAAAGGTGGAAACTTTAGAGAAGAATTGACAGAAGCTTTAGGAAATTTCATACTTATATACATGTAAATTTAATGTTACTACCGAGTTTTATAATACATTATCTATGAATTTTCGGTTTGTATAGGAAAGTTGCATACAAATACATTGTAATTTAATATTTGCTTGTAATAAAGACTTATTGTAAAATAAATTTGAAATAAATAAACTTTTTTTTTTGGATAGCCGCAAGGTTTATTTATTAAATCAAATTTTCCAAAACAAAGCGATAGAACCAATAACACACAGTTCTTTTGTTAGTTGTTCTATGTTTGTATACTCGTACATCACTGATGATGCGTGCCGTTTGATGCCGGCTCTTCACGATGGCCAACATAGTGGCGAATGTGTTGGCAAAGATATTGGCCAAGAATGTGTGATCGCGTCCACACGTTGGAAGGTCGTTCAGTTTGCTTTTGTTCAGACCAATGTGCGGACGAATTTATTAAAATGATTATTGAAGCGCTAACGGCTGCTGCGGTTTGTACCATATTTTTTATGTAATTTTCACTATTTTCAATATTTAATATTTTTAATATAAATAATGAATGAAATGAATGAAATTTCTTTATTATACACTAACGTTATACAGATAAATAAACTATATAAACATTAACACACCTAGGCATAGGTATAATTAACACTTTTACAACTAAGGCCTGGAAAATATTCGAAGCCTATCTATTAAACTGTTGTAAAATTTTATTAAACAAAACCTTTTTAAAAAGGGTTATTAATTATTATATAATTATAGAATGAAACTTAATAATAATAATAATAATTCTTCATGAGCCTTTCGTAGACACAGTCGCCTCCCTCCACTGGCTACGGTTCAATGACCTCTTTGGGGAAACTGAGGGTTTTGTCTGTGCAATACAAGATCAGGTTATTAAGACCAACAATTATCGGAGATACATCCTAAAGGATGGCACCGTCGACATCTGTCGAGCTTGTCGCCATCCCGGTGAGTCACTTAGGCATGTCATCTCCGGTTGTTCGGCGCTTTTTAACTCTGAGTATTTGCACAGACACAACCTAGTAGCCAGGATTCTACACCAGGAGCTCGCTCTGAAATACGGTCTCGTGGATCGGAAACTGCCATATTATAAGTATTTGCCGGAAACCGTGCTCGAAAATGACCGCGCCAGGCTCTACTGGGACCGGGCCATCATCACAGACAGGACTATTCTTGCGAATAAGCCTGATATTGTGCTGATGGACCGGGCAAAGTCAAGGATATTTTTGGTCGACATTACCATTCCCTATGACGGGAACCTCGTGAAAGCCGAAACAGATAAGCTGACAAAATATCTGGACCTGGCTCACGAGGTGACCGACATGTGGGGTGGTCTGCCGGCCGAAATTATTCCTGTGGTCGTTTCTGCGAACGGGTTAATCCCAGTTAGCCTCTCGGGTCATCTGAGGCGACTGGGACTCCGTGACGGACCGCTCCAAGCTCAAATGCAGAAGGCGGTGCTCCTCGATACCGCCCGCATCGTCCGCCGGTTTCTTTCCTTTTCCCCCTAACCCTCGGCCGTTTGGTCTCCCCTGCCGAGGGCTTCAATCTGGTTGGGTTTTATATATTTATGTATTTTTTATGTATTTATTTTATTTTATTCATATTCTATCATTTTCATTTACAATTATATATTTATACTGCCCAACCAGATGAGAAAACTTTATAGATACCCCAAAATAATAATAATAAATAATTTATTTCGTCAAGCATTAAAGTTACATTATACGATCAGTGATAGAGGTCACCTGGTAAGCAAAATAATGCCTGTAACAGGTGACTTCGCTCTTCCATAGCTAAAAATTACAGTATTATTAACGAAATAAAGAAACTAATAGGGAATAATAAAGACAGTAAAAACATGATTTTAGGATCCTACTTTTTAATTTGATTTTAGTATCCTACCTAGTCTCTTAGCATTAATACATCAATAAATCAATACATCAATAAATAAATTAATACATCAACCACTACAACGTGAATGTGTATAAGAAAAGGTAATCAAAAAGAAATGGAAAAAAGAAATTTTATTTCTTGACGGCTCCATGGCGTAGTGGCTTAGCAATGAGTTGCTGACCTGGGGGACGCGGGTTCGAATCGCGCACGGAGCAAGTATTTGTATAGCCTGCACATAATTTATCTAGGTCTGGATGTTTGTCCTTATGCAATTTATGTTTCTAAACTGCCTCCACGATAAAGGAGAAAATCCTAATCTACATTTTTTTTAAAAAAGACTTGTGTTTTACAAACAATTTTCGGCTTGGTAGGGCTCTATAAAGTGAAAAGTTTTTTCATTGGTCACTGTTACTGCCGTTATGTAGACACTAGTTACAATGCGTGCATATAAAATTTAAATCAGGTGCGTGCAATCACTCTGGGAGCTCGTAGCAAACTAAACGTGCGCCCAACGTGTGGACGCGGCGGCCAATACTCTGCCACAACCCTTTGATCTTTTGTAAAAAACCGACACCAGACGGATCTCGCGCCAACTAGTGGGCCATCGTTCCAATACATACCAACGTAGCTTAAACACCCACTCTACACGATGGCCATCGTTGTTCGCCAACACTTTCGCCAGTATGTTGGCCAACGTGATGAGCAGCCGTGAGACACATTGTTTCAACGTTAAAAGTCATAATAAAAAGCAATCCGAATTTTTTAAAAATCCTGATTATAAATATAACGATATTAGAATAAAATAAAATAAAACCGGTTATGAAAATGAATAACTAGTTCTGGAAAACGACAAACATACTATAAATGTAAAATTTATTTAATTTTTGATTTCCCGTGATGGAACGTCTACATGGTAAGACATGTAGGAAGTCAATTCATGCTTGTGACTCAGGACCATGTTTAGTATCAAACCTAGGAAGGGGCCTACGTTCAGCAGTGAACTTGTGAAGGGCTGTAGTAAGAAATATATAGATGACGACATAGTCACAGTGCAGAAGGGTTTTATTTTCATTCATCCTTGAATTATAAATCATCATCTTTTTTTCTTGTTTTGGTATATCAAAGATTATATACCTATGTATATTGAGTATTTAAGATGTTATTGATATTGGTGCATTGTAAAGCGAATATCATGTACTATTATAATATAAAATTAGATTAAATATTTATTTATATGAAATGTTAAAAACTATAATAATAATAAAGAAAAAACTAAAACTAGAAACTTAATTATCATATAGCTGGCTGCGTTTCCCCGCTGAATGGCTATACTTAGCCTTTGAGCGAGAAAAGAACCAGCCCTCTTATCACCAGCAGCAAGGACCAGCCGCGGATGGAGTTCCTTTAAGAACTTCACCGCACGTGGATCCCACGGACCGATAGTCCTACAGCAAATGGCACAAATATGTAGTAATTTCTCAGAGACTCATATTTGCGCCACTTACTAATTTCAGCTGCCTCTGATGCCGCCCCGGCACTAAACGAGGTACCCCTGAGATGAGAGGTCGCCAGAGTGTCTACGCAAGTAGCATCCGACACTAGGACTTTACCTCTCTCCCAAGGGACCAATGTCATACCGTCGGGTCTTCTGCCATCGTCTCTAAATATTCCACAAATCTCTAAAACCGAGGGAATATTTATAGAGACAAGAGCCCTTCGGATGACATCATTCAAAGAACTGTGTCGTGAAAACCTACCAGCGCTTTTCTTATATGAAAGTCCGTGGAGCCCAAACTTGTCAACGCTGCTACCACAGGGACACTCATGGGGTTGACAAAGCGCCGCTCGGTCGTCGGATTCCTACGGCAATACGCAAGTTTTTCCCATCAAGTAATGTGCCGAGATTACTTGATGACAAAACTTGTAATCGCTGACTAGATTCCTTAGTCAAAACAGCTAGAAGGCGTGCCTTATCTTGGTCACTATGGAAATTATGAAACAAATCTTTCTGCACGCCCCGTACCAACGGAATATCCCACTGTTTTTGTTGGTTAATTTCCAGTGGAACATTTTCACAAAGACAGAGCGTTTGCCATGTCTGCCCTGCCTCCTTAGCATAGCATAGGTCTACTTTATTATTTAAAATTATGTTACATAAGTCACTGACACTATGCACGGAAGCAAGGAAAGCAGGCAATGCAACGCTAGAAAGACTTCTTACACCAATGCCACCAAATTTTATAGGTAAAGTAGCTTGAGTCCAGGCTGTTGTATTTAAAGTTAAATTTAGAATTTTTTCTATAGCTATTTTAAGATTATTATCAATATCTTTTAAAATATCCGAACATTTCCCGATTGGACTCGAGCGAAGTAGGTACGTAAATCTAGGTATAAGGAGACAATATTTTAAAATAGTAAGAGCTATGTGGGGGTTTAATTTATACAATTTATCAACGTGGCTTAAAAACTGATCAAATTTTGTTTTTAAAACAGGTTTAATACTATCGAAAAACAACGGGGGACCTAGCAGGTATAGTGATTCCGTACTGACAGTTTTTATTCCTGGAGCAACATGATTGAAATTTTGAATTAGACTGTCTCTATGAGAAGTAGATAAATTATTGGAAAAAAAATATTACACATTTATTTCTATTTGGTTCAAGACCAATATTTTTAAAATTTCGAAAAATATGAGTAAGATCACTGAGGGCGTCATCTGCTCTACCTCCCAATGTAGCGTAGTCCAGGTACCAGACATTCAGCTTGCATTTAAAATTTGAAATAATGGGTTGAATTCCCAAACTGAAAAGGGCTGGACCTAGTGGGTCACCCTGCTGAACACCGACAGCAGAATCAATAACATGGTTTTCGTAAAACAAGTTAGTATTTTGACTATAACATTGCCAAACGTAATGATAAATTGCGGGGGTATTGTTAGCCACATCTTTCAGCAAGGTTACCCTATCGATAGAGTTAAAAGCATTCCTTAGGTCAACCTTCACAAGAACATCTGCATCAGAGTTTGTTAAAAATGTACGCACTGAATGTACCGCCGCCTCACGGCCACCTCTAGTGCTAAAGCCTAGTTGAGTAGGCTGAAATTTGGTCTTAAGGTTAGAGATTATGTGCCTGCAAGCTGATTTTGAAGTTAAGCGTCGAAATGTAAAACCAACGGCAATATGACGAATACCGTTATCCTTTTTTTTGAAGGCACATAATCTTGCCCCATATAAGAATGGAATGAAATTTGGATTAACATTACCAGAAAACATAAAGTTACATAATTTTGTAATGTCTTTAAGAAGTACTCCGCCGGCGTCACCGGCAGAAGCGCTTACAAGATCTTTAAGATGTTGAGGCGTAATTCCGTCAATGCCGCCAGCAGAGCCATTCGAAAAGGACAATAGCTTCTAAAGTTTGTTTTTCAGAAATTAAAAGGAAAGGCAGCGGTAAACCCTGAGAAGGTTTGACCGAAAGATGCTTCTGACGAAGGCTTTCAAGAGTTTCGACATTACGAGGAGCCAGGATGTCGTCTGAGAATAAAATATGGGATGCATTTTTTAAGTCGTCATCCATTACTTTCGACTCAACTACTTTTTTTTAAATCAAATTTAGGCCGCGGTCGAGATAAATGAGTATTAATTGGGTAATCTAAATTTTGAAAAGATGTCTCTTTTAGTTGAGACGTAATTGATTTATTAATTGTTTTATCAAAATTAAAATGAGAATATGCGAAAGTAAATAATTTTTTCAACTATTTTCACTATTAGTGAAACAATTTTGAATAGTGCATGACAATGCTTTAGCAAGATGCATTCTCGCACCTCTAGGAATTCTTTTAAGTACTGGTACATTACGATGATAATTGTAAATTTGCTCCAAAAAAGGAAAAAATATGTGTCATTAGTTGAATTGCTAAAAGAGTTATGAATTTCTACGGTAGGCTGTGAAGCCGAAATAATTATAATATGGCATCGTTTAATATGAATATTTAAATCCCTTTTACCTTTAAACAGCCTACCGTCGGCACAATTTTGACACTGTAGGAAATCCGGCTGTGAATGTAGCGGAGCAGAGAGCACTCAAAAGTTTTTAAAATTACATAACTTCATATTTAATTGATGCTGTACTCCGCATCTTTCCCTGAAACAATCATTTACGGCCTAAATAAAAGCACTTTACTCTATAAATAATTTTATAAATAATTCATAAATAATTCATCATTTATTTATAACAGCCTATCAAAAGTCTATTACTGAACACCTCTCCGTAAATTCCAGAATATTACTGAAATTTGAGGGTAATAATATTGCCCTCAAGACCGAATTTCCGTCACGGCTACGAGACTTAACGTATACTATATATTTGCGCACTGCAGGATGCACATATAGTACACGAAAGTTTGCGCAAGTACAGGTGCACTCTATTTCCTCACTCCAATGCTAAGGCAACAGACACAACCGGAAAGAGATCAGGCGCAGGACCAACGGCTTTACGTGTTTTCCGTAACATAAGGTCGAATAACCGCCACCTTCATGGCACTGAGAATTTAATGGCAGAAACACTCAATTACGTTTTTGTAGGCCAACCCGGGAGTCCATTAGATAAAATAGAATAGAATAATTTTTATTCAATATAGACTATTA